GGGGGGGTGAGAATTGGTCACAAGCATCCCCCCTGATGCTTGGGGCCGGAGGAGAAAGATGACTGAGAAGCCAGTAGAGGATGAACAACATAACACACCAGGTAAAGATGATGATGATGAGGAGGAGGAGGATGACTTTGGGAGATCGATTCCTCCCCCCCCAATGGGAGGGTGCCTCCTGGAGAGGGGCTGGTCTGAATGATCTCACAGGGTCCCCCCTTGTCCTAACCCCCCCCCGACCTTTTTGGGGTTCATCCTCCTCCTCTTAGAACTGCAGAGCTTGGAAGGGACCCTGGGAGATCATCCAGCCTCGCCGCCATCAAGGAGGCCCCATTGGAGGGGGACGGGATTCGAACTCCCAACTTCCGGCTTTGCAAGTCAGAAGATGCCTTAACCCCTAAGCCATCCAGCCTTCCATCATGGGAACAAGGGGGGTCTTTAGTGTCTGGAAATCCCTACTGTCTCCGGGGAAGGCAGGAAGGGAAAAAAGCTCCCCCCCCCCAAAAAAAAATAGAATTTAAATAGCATTTCCCATGTAAATTCCGTATAAAGACTATGTTTGGATTACTAAATGCCCTTTGCAATGCGGATTGACAGCAGAGATATTTTTCAAGGGGGGAAAAAATAGGCCAAAAGACTATTCCTGTAGTCAAATGAAAATAAAGGCCTGAGTGGATGGCAGAAGAAACGCTTTCCGATTGTTAAGGAGAAGCGAGAGGGGAAAAGTTGAGACAGAGATACACGCAGGATCCGGAAAGCAGCTTCCCAGTCCCTGGGCCAAGAGAACAGTCAGAGTTTATCAGTGCACAGAAACAGAAAAGAATAGAAAACAAAGTGAAACAGATGTCTTCCGTAGCATCCAAGAAATCAAGGGGAAATTTAAACCAAGATTAGGAAGGCTAAAAGATCGTCAAGGGGAAATTTAAGCCTAGATTAGGAAGGTTAAAAGATCAACAGGGGAACGTACTATATAATTAGGATAAATGATAAAAGCAGAATGTCCTGAGAGGCAGCCTCTTTGAGAGACCCTTGCATATTTCTGATGCACAAAAAACCCACCACCGATTTAACAATTGGTTGTTATTAAATTGGAAGGCTTGGTTAATTATTCTTATTGTTGTTATTCTTTTTACAGGTAGGTCCCGGCAAGATTCCAGTCTGCCGGGTGTCGCCGCACCTCGAGATTCCTACCGCACAAGAGGAGAAAAAGGTCTCGGGCTGTCTCTGGCGCGCGAGCAGGTGACTCTCTGGCCTCCGTTGCGTGGGTTCGCCCCATGGGTCCCCCCAGCGGACCATGGAGGAGACCCCGAAGGCCGAGCGCAGCCAGAGGCTTCTACGCCAGGAGGCTGGTTTCCCCACGGGGAACGAGGCCGGCCCTCGCGAAGACCTCTTTTCCAGGGGCCAACAAGAAACCGAGCCCCCCTGTTCTAACGGTTCTTTACCGTTCCCGCTAGAGAGAACCGAAAGCTATACCCCTTTGAGCTCGTTTACCCCGGAGCCGCCCCGCAAGCCGAGGCTGGAGCGAACGTCTTCTCTCGACGAGCTGGTCTGGAGGAGGAGAAGGTTCTTCAGGATGAGCCGGAATGAGACCTCGGCAGATCCGTCCAGGATGGGCACCCTCCCGGGAGGGGGTCCAGGCAGGCAGGGGTCGGAACCTCTGGGTGACGCGTACCGAGCCTCTGAAGCTTCGGACTACGCCGATCGGAGCCGGCTGAGCCTTTCCCCCTCGCCAGGGAGGCTGCCCGGCGTCGTGCCCACCCAGCCTCCGCCCCCTCTGGAACTGGACGGCTCCTTTCCGTCTCTCCGGGCCGCTAATAGGATCGACCCAGATTGTGCGGATTACAGGTTTTCTTCCCAGAGCTCCTTCCCAAGGGCAGGGAGTAGCTGGAGCGACACCCAGCTGCACAGCCGAGGGATGGTTTGCGGTGGCGGCTGCCACACTGCCTCCATGAAGTCCTCGTTCAGCCTCCTGACCCCCATCCGCGCCAGGGACGTGCGGAACAGGTAACGTCCTGCGGGGGGGGGGTCTGCGCCAACGGCACACCGGCCGGGCTTGGGAGGGTAACGGGGCGGGCGTCTCGTTTAAGCCCGGCCCTGCTCGGGAATTTCTCACGACTAACTTGCATTCAGCGAAGCAAGCCTTCTGTGAGACCGAAGGATCCCTGGGAGGTTTTTGAGATGAGATTTGGGAACAAGATTTGGCAAGAAACCAGCCTCCACTTTGTAAATCCCTCACGTGAGATTCCTGTAGGTTTTCAGTCTTCATTTTGAGCTTTTTAAGTGCATAGGTTCCATGAATTCGAAGCGGCTTACTCTAGTGCCACTGACTACGTTTGTTTATGTTACTCTGGAAACTGTTATGTACACAGATAAGGGAAAACCTGCTCGTTTCACCCTGCCTTCTCCACCTATTATACGGCCACCTTGGTCGCTCAAGAGCTTATTAGAGGTTCAAGGTTGTGTTAATTCTGCTTTGCTGGGAATAAATGCCTCGGACTGCGCATGGGGAGAGCGGGACAAACCATCTGCTCTCTTTCCACAGAAGCTACTTGGAAGGCAGCCTTCTTGCAAACGGTGCCTTGCTGGGCGCGGAGGAACTGAACAGGTACTTTCCCGACCGAAGCATCGGCATCTTCGTCGCCACCTGGAACATGCAGGGCCAGAAGGTGAGGGGAGGATGGGTTCTGGTGGCTTTGGGAACCTAGCGGATTCAATGAGAGGACAAAATGGCCGGTTGCTTTCCCTGGGTTCTGAAGCGGTCCCCGAGAATTGTTTCTTGATCTGATTTGTCTAACGCCCACCTGGCTACCAACAGAAAGGAGAACAGTCATCAGCAACCATAAATTGAAATAAAATTACATCAGAGCCATATAAAACAATCAACAGATACCAAACATTATACATTAGAGACTTAAACACACACACACGGACACAAAAATAACATTTAATAACACTGTTCTTTATCCGGCCCCTGGATAAAGCTTTTGCCAGCGAAAAATTGCCTGCTCAATGGGAATACAGTACAGGACTGCTCGTATTCAGCAGAAGCATTTTAAGCCATCCCTCATGCTGGTGTTGGGTTTGGGGTGAGGGTCCTGCCGGGCTTTGCCGCCTCTTCGTAGGAGAGCAAAATAAATAGAGGGGGTCCCTTAATTCCACTAGTAACGTCCGCGGGTGGTGAAAAGCACTCCCCTTCGGAACTGTGACAGTGAAGAACAAGCAGTACCGTCCTAAGGCTCGCCTAGAGTTTTGATAAAGTGTCCCTTTTCTCTTCCAGGAGCTTCCAGAGATGCTGGATGACTTCCTGCTGCCCTCAGAGCCCGATTATGTGCAAGACATGTACGTTATAGGGGTCCAGGAAGGCTGTCCAGATAGGTATGGAGGGACAGGGGATTTGTGAGACAGAGGGCAGCTTCTCTTCCCTTTAAACCAATTCTGGCTTCACAGTTCCTAGAATGATTCCCGCACAGAGGAGGTGGTTGCTAGCAGATAAATACCGTGTCCGTGTGTGTGTGTGTATGTGCGTGTGTGTTTGGGGGGGAAGGTTCCTACTAAAATGAGTGAAATCTCTTGTAAGAGGGGGCAGGCGGCCACCTCTCGTAGGATTGCGCTACGGGTCATGAGGGGCGATCCCTCTTCCCTTCTGCTCCCTTCGTCGCTCATCCGGGGAGCTCGGCAGCTGCTGAAAGTGGGGGTTCCTNGGGGGGCAGAAGGCAGACTTCCCTGCAGGCAGCCGGTGGTCGGAGCTCGGCTCCCCAAGGCTGCAGGCAGAGAGGGGGGCAATGTGTAGCCTGCGTAATCAAACTGTAAACTGCTATGCACCGACAGACCCTAACCTTACCCCTCCCCCCTTTTTTGCTAGACGAGAGTGGGAAATTCGTCTGCAGGAGACTCTGGGCCCCCAGGGCAGAAGGCAGACTTCCCTGCAGGCAGCCGGTGGTCGGAGCTCGGCTCCCCAAGGCTGCAGGCAGAGAGGGGGGCAATGTGTAGCCTGCGTAATCAAACTGTAAACTGCTATGCACCGACAGACCCTAACCTTACCCCTCCCCCCTTTTTTGCTAGACGAGAGTGGGAAATTCGTCTGCAGGAGACTCTGGGCCCCCACTACGTCATGTTCTATGCAGCTGCGCACGGGGTGCTGTACATGTCCATCTTCCTGCGAAGGGACCTCATCTGGTTTTGCTCAGGTAATCTGTTACCCGCTGGCTCTTTCGCTGGCGTTGAAGTCCTTCAGCAACTGAACCTATGTGGAATTGTAATTTAAAACCCACGGTTAGCCGTTGCTCATGGCAGCACACGTAGGAACTCCAGAACAAGGAACGGCTTTTGTGTCAAGCCTCGGGGAACGTGACTTTAACCGGCAAAATGAGCAAAACCCCCGATATTTCGCCAGAGCGATCCACGGGCATGCCAGAAAGATATGGCGAGCCCGTCGTTAGGAGTCTCGTCATGTTGACGAAGTACCTCCGAGGTGCTCTTTGATAGCTCTCGCCCGTCTCTCTCCCTAGAGGTGGAATATGCCACCGTGACCACCCGCATCGTCTCTCAGATCAAAACCAAAGGTGCCTTAGGCGTTTGCTTCACCTTCTTCGGCACGTCTTTCCTCTTTATCACCTCTCATTTCACGTGTGAGTACTTCTCCCGCTGCACCCAGTGAATATATGGGTGTACGTGTGCGCTCGTGTGTGCGTGTGACTTAGCTTCTTCTTTGGTGCCTTCGTACTTAAGGCAGGTGTAACACTGAGCGATGCCCATGTCGTTGAGCAAGAGAACCATCTTCTGTTAGAACGGCAGAGCTGGAAAAGGGGACCCTCGGGGCCATCCAGTCCAGCCCCTGTCTAGGAGGCCGTCTGGGTAGGGGAAGGAGGGGATCAAACTCCCCACCGCTGGCTCAACAGCCCTGTTGTCCCCAGTTCCCTCTTTCCGAGCCTGCCCTGAAAAGACCCTCCCTTTTTGCAGCGGGCGACGGCAAGGTGGACGAGAGGGTCCTGGATTACAACAAAACCATCCAGGCTCTCGGGCTGCCCAGAAACATCCCAGATACCAACCCCTATCGCTCCAGCTCTGGTGAGTAGCCTGCCCTCCGGAGGGGCTTCCCTTGTCCTACGATGGATCTGCCGGTGGGATTTAGTCGCCCGTGTCTTCCCTGATGAGCAAGGACAAAAGCCACGTGTGGTGAAATAAACCCACGGTTTGCCGGTAACTAAAAGCTAGTCTCCTGCCTCCTCTGTGCAGGGAGGAAGGGGAGGCGTCCTGCCCCTGAGGATCCCTGGCCTTCCAAAGGGTGTCTTGTTCTCAGCCAAAATGTGTGTTCAAGGGGATGCTTGAGCTGTCACAAGGCCCCCACCAAGAACAGTGTGTTTTGAAATGATGCTGCCAAGTAATATTTGAGATTGCAAGCGGGATACAGGGGCATAAATTGTCCTTTGCGTCTGATTTTTCATTTATTTGGAAGAGAGGGTTTGTGACAACCGGCTGAACTTCCTTCCCATGTCACTTAAGCGGCTGAGCATCTGCTGTGTGATTTCCAGCTGATGAGAGCTCTCGCCGGGCACCCCTTCCCCACATGATTCCCGCCTCTCTCTCTCTCTCTCTCTCTCTTTTTTTCCCCCTCCGCCTCGGCTCTGCAGCAGACGTCACGACCCGGTTCGACAACGTCTTCTGGTTTGGGGACTTCAACTTCCGCCTGAACGAGAACCGGGAAGCCGTGGAGCAGATCCTCGGCCGCAGTCAAGAAGCGGACGTGTCGAAGCTGCTGCGGCACGACCAGCTGACGAAGGAAATGGCGAACGGTAAGGAGAACCTCGTGTCCCAGAACACTTACTCTCATGCTGCAACTCGGGGCCCAAGTCTACGCGACGGCGAAGGCTCCTGCCGGACTGGCTGGTGCAAGGATTGTGTGCTGAGTCTCTTGTTTTAATCAAACTACAAAAAGAGCAGATTCGGTTGCAGAAGGGCGGCCGGGATAAAGCGGACTCGCCGTATCATTTCCTCTCGTAGGTTCTGTTTTCAAGGGTTTCCAGGAGGCGCCGATCTTTTTCCGCCCTTCCTACAAGTTTGACGTGGGGCAAGACACCTACGACAGCACCTCGAAGCAGAGGACGCCTTCCTACACGGTGCGTTGCGTGCGGAGGGACGGCGAATGTGCATCCCGTCGGGCCCTGACCGCCGCCTCTTCTAGATGGTCCACACATCCGCGCACACTCAATGCACACACTCCTGGCACTGCGTTGCTGCCCCCCCATCTCTGACGTGTGCACTTAAGCACCCAGTTCTTCCTAGCGGTAACGGATGCCCTTTTTCGCCTTTCACTTTTGCAGGATCGCGTAATATACCGAAGCCGTCACAAGGACGACATCCATGCCGTGAAATACTCGTCCTGTCTAGCAATCAAAACCTCCGACCACCGGCCCGTTTATGACCCCCGAAACGGCCGGTCGGCGGTACCAAAGGGGCCGCCGGAAGTCCAGAAATGGCTGCCGGCAGCCGTTTTCGCACCCTGCCCTCGCTTAGCGAAGGCGCGAAAATGGCTGCCGGCACCTGGAATCCTCGCTGAACGGGTAAGTAAAAAAGGTATTGGAACGCATTAAACGAAGTTTAATGCGTTCCAATACATTTCCCTTACCCGTTTAGCAACGATTTCGCATAGCGAGGGTTAATCCGGAACGGATTAACCTCGCTATGCGGGGCACCACTGTAGCTAGTTTTTCCGTAATGAACAAGGAGTCCTAAAGGAGACAGCAATAATCCCATAACCCTTTTCATCCTGACTCACAAATCTCCTGTGTTGTTACTGCCAGGATTTCCTCCGGAATGGCGAACAGGGTAAATTAGCTCAGTTTAAATCCTCCTCCAGGGAGGCCCCGTTAAGAGTTTAGGCGAACTGATTTCCCGTAGGTTGGTTCTTAACGGTGTGCCACTCACCGAATGGATTGTTTTGTCGTTTGCAGTATCCCGCTGGCTGCAGGCCAGTTTGACCGCGAACTCTACTTGATCGGCATAAAGAGACGAATCACAAGGGAACTTCAGAGGAAGCAGACGCTGAAGAGCCAGAAGACCAGTGCCGTCTGTTCCGTTTCCTGATTCTGAAAGAGACGCCCAAAGTGGATTTCGAGGCAGAGACAAGGCAGGCTGCCCAGAAAGGGTTAGGTGCCCTCGTGCTTGGCGCCTGCACGGTGAGAGCTTTCCAAGTCCTCTTGGTAGGTCCAACGTGGTTGAAGAAGGGAAGGACGAACCTCAGGTTGGAAAAGCTTGGACCGTCTCGCCGGTTTTCCGTGCCGGGACTGATGGCCTGAGAAGCAGATGCCGTGCCCTGTGGGACGTTGACAGTGAAATGCTGTTTGTATCCCGTTCGTGCAGTTCAGCAAGACGCCTGCTTCAAAAACGGTGTCCACGAGTTGAGCATGTTCTGTGTTTTAAAGCCATATCTGTATTGACAAGATGTGTCTGGGGACCAATCTTGAGTTAAAAGGGAATTCCTGCTGCAGGCGTGATTTTTGCTTCTTTCCCCTTGGCAGGCAAAACAAGAAAATGTCGTGAGCAAAAACGGTGGGGGTTTAGATCCGTCTGCAAAAGCTCTTTTCCTTTGAACGAGCCCCTCTCCAGAGTGGAGATGCTCCTGAAGACGTGGGATGCGAGGGAGGGTGTGGGCTTCTGTCCGGACGGGGACAGGCCAGCTTCCCCCGAGATGGGGGTCACCCATCCGCCTTCTCTGATCAGCAGGAGGGACAAAAAAATAAAAGCCCTGTGTAGTTCAACACAGGACAAGCCTCCCGAAGGGCAACAGAACTCCGTCCTCCTAAGAGCAGTGCCCCATTTTGGCTTCTGGGAGTAGCTTGAACCCTGGGGGTCCGGGAATGAGTGAGTTTCACTCCCAACCACCCCCCCACCCCACCTGTTTATGGTTGGCCGGTGTTCTGTGTCCCATTGAATCGGATATAACGGGAACTTGATTTGGAAGGCTCATTTTCAGGTTCTTGGCTGTCTGGCCAGTCGTTCGTACAACGCCGTTTATAACAAACGAAACCTGCTGCGTTAGGTTAGCAGCGTCTCTACAGGTTTCAGACACTCCATTTAGGACTTCCCTTTCCCCCGGGGGCGGGGGCGGGGCGGGGGAATCGGTCGAATCCTGCCTTTAAAGCCAACGGTGTAAAACAAAGCAGAACGTAAGGAATCAGTTCGTGGTGTTTCCTTTAAGCCCTTGCAGTTTTCACAAGGGTGAAATGCCCCCGCCCGTGGCAGATTCTGCCCTCCCAAAAGTCCCCCCCCCCCAAAGAGGCAGGATCCTCTCCTGGTCTTGCCATTCATTTTGCTACAGTGACTGCAAAAGTTGAGATGAAGGGAAGCCACATCCGGCAGCAAGCAACAGAGGCTGTTACGCAGGCCAGTGAAAAGCGTATCACCACCAGCACCACAGGGAATCTGAACCATCAGCTCTTTATTTATGGTGTTCCCTACCTTGGACTGCAGCCCACGTTCCGCACCTGATCGCGGGTCGTCCAACACAAAGACAAATCAACACAACAAGAAACTTAGGTTGGAAAACAGCAGGCGGGTTTTCTCCGTGCGGGCAAAACCAAGGCCGTCTCTGTTTGCAGTGCCATGTGTTCTGTTACGACACCCGCACAGCCTCTTACAGAAAGCATGTTCCCCCCCCTTCCACCGCCTAAAGCTGCACGTACTCAAGTAAGCATGCCAGGTGGGTCCCTCGGAGGCCCGGAGGAAATGTCTGCAGCATGAACGGAGGCGACCACTTTGCACACCCTGTTTTTCCCCACAGGAGGACAACCGTCTTCAGCAGGAGAAAACCCGAGGCCTCGTTGCGGGGACTCTTAACGGAAAAGCCGGTACATCCTGGGCAGCCGCCCATCCTTACTGGCCAGGGCCGCCTGCATGTGCTCGTAACTGGGCAGCTCCCTCAAGTCCCCCAAGGCGGCGACGGCCGGCTTGTTCCTCAGCATCTTGGTCACCACCCTCCGGATGTCCGCGGCGCTCACTTTGCCTACAGGGAAGGGAAAAACCCAAAGTTGCCGGCTACCGTTTACACGGGACACTCGAAGCCGCGGAGTCAAATTATTCTGTCATTTTTGTTACCCCGTCCAGGCTGTTTCCATGACAAGTGAAATCACTGCTTATTTCACAAAGATTGCAGAATTTGTTTATAAAGAAGAGTGGAGAGAGAGAGAGAGAGAGAAAGCTGCAGTGGGTGACAAGAGAGGAAAGTCTCGAGCTACTAAGAAGCCATTGTGGCGAGGGAGACAGAGAGAAAGAAGCAAGTGAACGGGGTTCACGCAAGAAGCAAGAGGCTTAGAAGAGCCTTAGCCCTCGTGAAATTCCACAAGGATATGAACGGGGTTCACGCAAGAAGCAAGAGGCCGAAGAGGCTCAGAAGAGCCTTAGCCCTCCTGAAATTCCACAAGGAATCAGCGCAGAGCGTTGTGACGCGTGAGCAAGGGCTGCAGGAGAGAGAGGCAACCACAGCGGTCCGGACGAAACCAAACTCGTGTTCTGAACATAAATCCTCTCCACTGGAAAGGAAGTGCTGGCCAACAGGCAGCCATTTTCTTACTTACCAATCAGGACACACAGCTCATGAGGTAGTTTCCGTGTGCCGGTGGCCAGCACTTGCCTCCCGACGTCCTCGAAAATGACCGGCCGAGACTCCAAGTTCATCATGAGCATGGACTTCAGCTGGGTTTTGGCTCGCTCCAGCTCCACCTGGGAGAGGAGACGACGCGTATGAACTCGGCTTTTTGCTCTTCGATCGCCGAGCATTGATTTAAGATCGAGAACACCCTGCATCACAGAGTCCAGTTCCCCAACCCCGAGGCAGATGCCCAGAAATCAAACAGGAAAAAAAAAAAATCGCCAGCGAACAAAACCTTCCATGTGAGGAGACTCCCAGGCCTGCAGAAGTCAAGGGAATGTGGGGGAAGCTTACCTCTCCAACGGCTCCCGCCATTAAAACGAATTCCCGAGTAATGATTTCTACCATGTCTCGAACCTGCAAGAGAGTTGTTTTTTTCAGAAACGGCCGTGAGCACCAGCCGAGCTGCTTCAACCACGCAAGCGAGGGGATCCTCGGCCGCTGATCTCCAGCTGCTTCCTGCAGAGGCGGGAAGGGAGGGAGAAGGAACCCCCCCACCCATGGAAAAAGATGGAGGGAAAGGGCCAAAAGCAGCGGGCCGGGAAAGTGAAGGAGCCGAGGGCAAGCGGGAGCCCCCGCCACCGGCGATAAGAACGCCCCAGCGAAACCCACGGTGCTGCAGAGAGTGATCTGCCTATTAGTCTTTCTGCTGCTTGGAGGGTGTCTCCAGCCCCCTACTCCCAGAGGGGTGACTCTAGTCGCATCCCAAAGAGGAACAGAGCAGCCAGCCGAGAGTCTTGACATCCGCCTGAAACAGGGAAAAGTCTAGGGAAAAAAATGACCACCAAACGGCAACACCGCTTTCAACGGGCCACCCACCTGTCGTGGGTCTGCGCTGGCGTGGATGCAGAGGAGGCCCGTGTCCTCGTAGCTGTGGTGGTAGGAGGTCGCGTTGTACATCCAGTGGTGTCTGGAAGGACAGAACGAAGGACCATCAGCTCCCAGGGGCCACTCTGGTCTTACTCCTTCCTTTCACAGAGTTCCTCTAAGATGGGGGGTGGGTGGGGTGTTGCTCCCCAGAGGATGCTCCTGAAACGCCCTTAATCCGTCTCCAGACACCCAAAGGAAGCAGCAGGAAGTGGGTCTCGACTTTCAGACCCCGACCCACTGAGGGGCCACTAGGAGGGCAGAAGCAGGAAGGGCAACCTGGAGATTTGGGGGAGGGCGGAAGGAATGCGGCTGAGATTCCCTCGGAGAGCAAGCTGGGCCCTTCCCTCTGGTCTACGCATCCTCACTCTCTCCTCTGCTTTTGTTGAGGCAGGCATCAAACTCACCGGTTGAGCACGTTGAGATACAGCCGGGTGAACATGCCTTTCCCGGGGCCGCCGGCGGAAAACGACCCACCTCCGCCCATCATCATGTTGAGAACGGCGAAAGGAATGAAGTCTTCCTCCTAAAACCAGAAGAGCAGAGGCGGGGGTTGTTGTTGGGATCCACCCGGGAGGAGCCAGGGGGGCACACGGCGCTGCGTTGCGGGGGCTTACCAGAAAGGAGCAGCTCTCCAGCCCAATCATGATGTGGGTCAACTCGGGAATCGGGGTGGGTCCCAAGCTCACATCGGACATGTCTTTTTCGAGCTGCGGCGGAGGAGAAAGGAAAGATGGATGGATCTAGGCCTTTGAGGAAAAGAGGCCAGGTGCCCGATGCGCACGGCGGCCCTTCCACGCCTCTCCCGCTTTCTCTGACATTCTGCTTTTGAGCATCCCCTTTTGTACAAGAGCCTGTAACAGCAGCCCTACGTCTGTCCAGCGGCTTACCTTGAGGATTCCTCCCGTGTACTGGGCGATCGACCGGTCGACCTCGGTGGCCTTCCCGCTTCCCCAGACCGGCTCTACTCCGAGGAGATACTTCCTGGCACACTCTACGAGGTGCTCGTGCTCCATGCCCACCCCGGCCAACACCATCCGGCTGGGCGTGTAGTAATTCCTCAGGTACGAATGCAGGACTTTCCGGTCTATTTTGTCTACGTTCTCCGCCGGGCAGAACCTGTTCAAACCCACGGTGTTTTCTCTGTAAGCAGCCTGTCGAGGAGAGGAACGAGGAAGACGGTCACTTTTTTTAAAAAAAAAAAGGCACAGCACAGATGACCCGCTTATCCCTCATCCGTATCTCCTTGCTTCACAGGAGACCATGAACTGAGACAGCAGGAGATGGCTGAAATGGCTAATCAGGAGAGATGAGAAGTTATCTCGTTCGTGGAAACTCAACTCTTGTAGACCCCAGCCACAAGACCAGACCCAAACAAGTCATTTACTACAGGAAATGTATTCTCTCACACACACACCCCCAAAATGAGATCATGTTTGGGGAATGCCACAGAGGTAGCGAAGAACGGAAAAGGGACTTTTAACCTTGAGGTTGACTGGGGTGCATCCTATTAAAAGGAACCACATTACAACGTGCAGCCAAGCTCCCCTTTCGCCCACAAGCGTGAACGCTGATGGAAAGCGTTCCCCCCCCCAAAGTCAATCCAGGAGATGGCCACCGGCCATGACCGCCTCTTGGTGGCTGCAGTGGGTTTCCGAGTGTCACTCGTGTGGGGCCCTCGCTTCCAACCCCATAAATCTTGTTTCCTGCAACACCTCCCTTTGGTGAGACCTACCGCGTGAATCATCTCTGTGAGCAACGGCTCCGGATCCGGCCTCATGTTCAGGTCCTCCAGCTCAAAGCGGATGGCCATCCGGGTTCTCTCGATCTCCTCATCTGGGACGGAGGAAACAGCCCGGAATGAGTGTCCCAGAATCCCGGCCAGCAAAACGCAAGGGCCAAACCTTTGTCAAGGCCTGAGCAGGACGGGAAGACGTTGGCCAACGAGCCTGATCTGGAAGGAAGGCCCCTCACAAACCCCAGAAGGGTTCACAGGGTCCGGGGCTGAAAACCTTCCCTCTTCAGCCGATCCAGGTGTGCGCTCTCTTTCTCTCACCTGACAACTGAGGTTGTAGCACCACATCAGCCAGCAAACTGACCACGGTGTCCAAGCCCCGGGCATCCGCAGAAACGGCATACATCGTGGTATCCCTGGAAGGAGAACAACTGGTTTGACCTTCAGCTTGGGACATACGCCCCAAAAATGTCCCTTAAAAAAGATGACTCTGGGGCCTCTTTTCTTCCCAGACCGGACGATGAATCCCACGTTCCTCGTGGGCAAAAGGAAGAAACCAAGAAAAGAAGACAGACAGATGAGTGTGGATCTTTGGACGGAAAGTCAGCCCCCACGTCTCCCCACTTGAGTCCCAAGGGTGCTGCCTCGCGGGGAGAACGGCCGAGGAACACGACGTACCTCGACGCCTGGCAGTCGCAGATGCCGCCATGTTTCTCCAGCGTGAGGAGGATCTCGTCCTTGTTGCTAAACCGAGCCGTGGACTAAGGGGGAGACAAAGCAGGAGAGGGCGTTGCTGTTAACGTTTGGCTCCCGTGCCAGGATCCTAACGGAGGGCTCTCGACAGCCGGGCAGGACTAACAGAACATGGAGAGGAGATCTTAGAATCCTAGAACGATGGAAGGGGCCTCTGAGGTCATCCAGTCCAACCCCCCTGCTCAAGGCAAGAACCGAAACCCAAACACATCGATCAGGCAGAGGGCTGCCTTGAAGGCCTCCAGCGTTGGAGCGCTCACCACCTCCCAAGGTCCCAAAGATTTGGGGGGAATTAGAAGGGCCCACGGACCTCCCAGTAATTATGAGAGGGCTCAGAGGGTTTTGTAGCCTGAGTCTTAACAAGGACAATGTGTTCCTGCTTTGATAAAATACTATTTCCAATCCCTCTCGGTAGCAGAAAGAAGTTAACGCAAATTGGCTATTCGCTATACTTACAGAAAAAGCCAGCTTTTCTAGAAAGTGCGAAACGCCACCGATATACTTGGCTTCATATCTCGATCCTGAATTTATAAGGACTATTTTAAAAAGAATGCAAAAGAAGAGAGGAGATCAGCCTTCAGCATCCAAAAGAGTTTACATTGATAACAACACAAGCAGCATCAGTCTAAGCTGGAGAGAGAGAAAAATCCTAGATCGTACTGCTGCATGTGGCCTGTCATGACTGCTGTGACGCCCCTTCAAATCAGAAGTGATTGACAGCAAACCCTAACAGGGCTTCAAGGTAAATGAGATAATTTAAGGAGCGATTTTGCCAGTTCCACACCCCTGAGTGAGTTTCCATGGCTGAGCAGGGGATTCAAACCCAGGCCTCCTGATCTGTTACTCCATCCCAGGAGTTCCCAACCTTTTTTGAGTCATGAATATTAAAATTATTAATAGTAAATTATTAAAAGAAAAAAATCTAGAAGTATTTATTTCACAGTGCATTTACTTGAACTGGCCAGCAGAGGGAGGCAGAGTCCATGTTATGTATGAATGATCTCTGGCTGCCTCTAGTGGCCACTTCTGGTAATACAGGTGAAAATACAAATTTCTGGATTCTTTTTCTTTCTCCATGTTTTTATAGTGTTTGCTATTATCCATGGTTTTCAGCATCCGCAGAGAGGCTTGGAATGAATCCCCCGCCGGTACAGGAGTCCTACTGTATTTAGAGAGGCTTAGGCGAATAGTGCCGAACAAAAGCTGCCATTTACTTACTCCCCACGGTACAAAACTGTCCAAATTTGTTCTGAGAAGCCACTTGTAGTCCGTTCTCGAGGGTGGTCACTCTGGTTTCAAACCCCTCCTGGCCATCCACAGTTGCAAATACAGGTTTTGGTAGTCCAGGCAGAGGCGTGGTCAGGGGGATGTTCGGGTAGCCACCCCCACTGCTGTACTTCCGATAGGCCACCAGTCCAAACCTAAAGCGTAAGGATTGTACCTAATTAGGCAACCGTTTTAATCCAAGTTAATGTGAGTACAATTTAAAGGATCGCAGCCCTTTAAATGTGAGCAATACGAGAGTTAAGACTTGCTCAGAAGAAGAGCCGACAGTTCTTAGGAAGAGATACTTCTGGCTGGAAATCCTAAACGGATAAAGGGTGGAAGGCTTGAGGAAGCCCCCTGTCAAGGAGGCACAAAACTCCCAACCTCTGGCTCCACAGCCACGTGCCCAAACCACTGAGCTATTGAGCAGTTCAGACCGAAGGTGAAGTTCTGAAGGGGCGCTCTCCAAAAATCTCCCTTGCTTTCCTGGGCCCTGAGAGTCTCATCTTCCAGCACTATCGCTTGTCTCTTTTTATTACCCTGCGCCGAATGGGGTAAGGAAGAGGGGAAAAGGGTAAGCGGAACCTGAGGTCATGGAAAGGTGACTGGAAACCAGAGGGCAGCCTGCCTAATGGCCTGGAGGGGAACCCAGAGGGACTACAACTTCCAGGAACCCCAGGCACCACAGCTAGCAGCGAAGGCTTCTGGGAGTTGTAGTCCAAGAACATCCAGGTCACCCTACATGGTTCAAGAGGAGTGCTTCCCAACCTTGGGGAGAGGGGAACCACGTGTTCGTGGACTACAACTCCCAGAAACGCCGGCCAGCCCACCTAGTGGCGAAGAGTGATGGGAGTTGTAGTCCAAGGCTTGCGGGGAGGGCGCGCCTTTTCTCTCTCCCCACCTCCCAACCCGCGGGGGGGGCAAAGGGAGGTGGGCTCACGTGACCCCCGCCTCTCCCCCTCCCCCCCTCCAACCACCGGGTCTCACCTCCGGACGGAGCCCCAACCGCCCCGCCGGACCACGTTCGCCGCCATCTTGACTCTCCTGCCCGGCGAGTCACGTGCGGATTGGCTGGCCCAGGAGGGCGGCCCCTGATTGGACGCCGGTGGGCCTCGTGGGCGGAGCTCCGGGGAGCGGGGGAAAGGCGAACGCCAAGAGGTAAGGGCCGACAGACGCCGCTCCCGACACTTCCGGCTCTCCGAAGGAGGGGTGGCCAGGCCAGACGCCCTCGATCCTACCCCTGAGGAGGCGCCCAGAGGCTCCCCTTCGAGGCTTCCCCTTTTCGGGACAGGCGCCCAGAGAGGCAGGATCGGGGCCCTGACTCGTTGGCGGGGTGGAGGAACCGCGGCCACTCTCCGCCGGCAGGGCTTCCGAAGGGAACCCCCGAAGTCCGGGTTGCGCGGGCGCCTCTCGTCCTCTACCTCTTTGGGAGGCGGCGGGGAGGAGCCGGGCAGGCCGTGACGTCTGTCCCTAGGGGCGGAGCCTCCGGGGACCCCGCCCCCCTCTTCTGCCCGGGGAAAGTGGGCGGGGCCGGGTCCCTGCAAGGCTTCCATGGCCGGGCGGGGCGCCTTCGCGGCCGGTAAGAGATTGGGGGGGGGGAGAGGGCTCCTGGGCATGGGCAGAGCGCCCCTCCTTCAGTGAGACCCCCAGGGCCAAGAAGGAGCCCGAAGGGAAGGGAAGGAAGAGAGGGGGCCCGATCCACCCATGTGCCCCCTCGAGGGACCGAACAGGGGCTTGATTTAAATGCCTTGATTAAAAAAAATTAATAATTATGAAAAAATTGTAATTTTTTTAAAATTGTTCGTTGCAAGGAAATTGCAAGACCGTACCACCAGAGGAAGGGGGGGGGTTGTCACCGTACTTTTTGATACTTGGGGCTTTGACATATATATATTTTATTTTATCGGAGAATAAATGCTTTGGCTACTTGGGGGCTTTGTTTGCAAAATTGTTCCTCCTCTTGTCGTATCACTTTTATATGACCAGCAGCGGAGAGGGCGGTTGCCCGTCCTGCCCTCTGGGGTTCAGAGGGCGGGTGACCTCTGAGCATGGGCAGAGTTCCTGGCCCTTGGTGCCGGGGGGAGAGAGTAAGGAAAGGAACTCCCCTCCAGGATTGGGGCAAAGGGAGGAGGGGGGTTTGCCCTTCTCTGCTCCTCCCTCTTCACCCAGCCTTGCCCCCCCACCTCTTGCCTCCTCTCCCTCCGCCCAGCAGGACCCCCCAGCAGCCCGGCCGAGGAAGCCAACCCCTTCTCGTTCAAGGAGTTTGTGCGGAGCAAGAGCCAGAACGCCCCCCCTGCGGCCGTGCCCAGGGCTAAAGGAGGCCGCGGCGCCAGCCCCCAGGTAAGGCCGGGGTGGGGTGGGGGGGCCTCAGGAAGGCGGGCAGGGATGGGGCACCAGGTTGGGAGCCTTCCGAAGACTTCAAGCCGCTCGGGCTGCTTCCTGTGCCCCTTTCTCCCTCCGTATCCACTGTTTCACTTATCCACGGCCTGAAAATATTGAAAGCACCCCCCAAGTATACATGTGTACATACTTCCCATTTCCAGCCCCAGGCCCGCTCTCGTTTTCTTCTCCTCTGTAGGAACCCGGCCGGTCCTCCCAGCTCCTGGAGGACGACTCCTTCTCTCCTGATTCTTTGACGCTCAGCCTGGGCCTCCGAGAGCCATTTTTCCCCGATCCAACAGTCACCGACTCCTTCCTGGATGACGACGAGGACGAGGAAGAGGACTGGAGCAGGACCTACAAGCCTTCGGCCGTGGAGGACACCCACCACGCCTCCAGGGCACCCGGCACCTCACGGAGCAGCTGCTTCGATTCCTACTACGGGGACCTTTCCACCTTTTCTCCATGGCAGCCGGCAGGGAAGCGCGGTCCCCCACGGGACCCTCGTCGGGACGGAGACGACAGTTCGCCGGCTGACGGGGCGGCTTTAGGAGAGGGCTTTTACCCACCTCTGCTGCCGAGTTATGAAGAAGTGAGGGGCTAGGAGGTTTGGGTGCATGGATTGCGGGTTTCGTTCCGAACCTTCTTCTCTTCCTCGCTTCCCCCCGGGACCTGCTGAACGGAGGAGCACCTCATAGCTTCCTCGTGTAATGGTGCAGAGATGTAGGGTTTTATTAACCGGAAGACTTCGGCTGGTCTTTTTTGCATGCCGGGAGGAAAGCACAGAGCGGCCTTCGTCCAGAGCGACGGTATAGAAATCAAATAAATAATAAGTTTATGGGGACAGTGGCTCAGGAATTATGGAGCCTCCAGAGACCCACGTATGGCTTTTGAAAGTCCCTACGAGAGGTATGCTATGCGGCGCCCGTTTTCAGAGGCGCAAGTAGAGAGTGGCATGGACAGAACTGGTTGTGGGGATCAAGGCCAGCGATTCAGGGTCCTTTTAAGGAGAAAAGGCAGGGTAAAAAAATATTTTACATAAATCAATAGTAACCGCAATCATCTCTGGCGTCCCAGAAATTCTAAATTTTCCCCAGCCTTGAATCTTGGGGAAAGAATTAATTGCACAGAGCCAGCAAATAGAGATGTAATCCATCTGATTTGCGCACCTCTGGATGCTGGATCTTGTTTTTTCTTGGCAAAGAACTTGTTTCCCCCCCCCCACTTTTCTTCATTGAAGTACCTTCTGCCAAAACGAGTACCTATGCTGGTGACCTTGTCTTGAACAGAGCCCTCTCTTTTTCAGTTGAAGCAAGAAAATTCCAGATTAAGAAGTAAGATCGGCCATGTTCAAGCTGTTTCCGAAGCTCAAACAGAAAGGTAGTGTTTGCTATCATCCACGATTTTCAGCATCCGGGGCGGGGTGTTTGGAAAGTATCCCTGCAGATACAGGGCTCCTCTTGTATCTTTAAAATGCCGTCTTATTACCCCATGCATGACTTTTGAAAATCCCTACAAGAGGTAGTGATGTGGCGGCTGTTTTCAGAGCGGCGAACGTTGCATGGAGGGTGTGGGATAAAAGGATGGGGCAGAAGTTTTACTCCTGGTGTTTTCTGTCTCTCCCCTGGGCTAGGATAAAGGAGCTGGAAAGAACGCTGGAGGAAAGCAAACGGAAAGAAGAGAAGGAGGCCCGAGACTTGGAGGCGATGGTTCAGCAGGTGGAAGAAAACCTCCAGCTGATGACGGTGCGTCCAGCAGGTCCCTGGGAATCACGCTGTCGTCTGGAATGGCTCTGGATCACAAGCATTCCTCCTTGGAATGAGACATTAGAGGCTTTCGGGGCGATTCCTCTCCTGCTCGGAGCGCCTCGGCTGCCGCAGGAAGGACGCTCTTTCCTTTCCTCTGTCCCCCCACCTGCCCCTATTCATCTCTTGTGGGTCAGAACGTTTCCCCCACCTCATTCTAACTCCCCACACCTGGCCACCAATGCCCAACCACACACAAGGGCCCTCGGAGCGAAGCGGCCTCTCTGCCCTACACCCCCTTTCAGGGTCTCTTAAGACTCAACCCCACCCAAAATGCCAAGCCATATTTTAAAAAAAATGTCTAGCCAGCCACTTTCCAGTTTGGAAAAATGGACATTTTGGGAGCATTAAACCAAAGGCACAGGTCTGTTTTTAAAAAAGAAATTTACTTTCCTTGGAATGACAGTTCACCGTCCCCCCCAGCCCTTGCTTTTCTGGGGGGGAGGGCATTTTGCCCACCCATCTGCTACCCCATCGCCCCCCACCCAGCCCAGCGCTTGGCTGCGAAATAAGCCCCAGTTTCTTCCTCTTTGTTCCAGAAGCGAGCCGTGAAAGCAGAAAGCAACGCCGTGAGGCTGAAGCAGGAGAACGCTCTCCTTCAGGTACACGGAAACACACACCCTCCCCTTGCATGCTTTTAAAAGGGATGGTTCTAAACAAAGTTGGATTGATTCGCTGCCGCCCTTCCTTGGCCTCCCCGCTGGCGGGAGTCGCTGGCCTGACTGCGGTTCCCTTCGCTCTCCCAAGGTTCAAGTCGAGAACTACCGACGGGAGGGCGAAGCCTTGAAACGTGGCCACGTGGCCAACCTGGCTGTAGTGAAACAGAACACCGATGTGGCCTTACAGAACCTTCTCGCTGTTATAACAAAGTCCAAAGTCTCCATCAAGTAAGTTCTGGATCTCTTTAACAAGAGATTAAAACGCTGTGGGCGGTCAATGGGAGCTTCGCTTACCGCCGACTTTTTCCTCTCCTTGCTCCTCACGTTCCCTCCCGTTTCGCTTTATTGGGTTCCCTTGTATCTGCGGTTTCAGATATCCGCGGTTGCTCCTGAAACGGATCATCTGCAGAGACAGAAGGGATTCCTGTACTTTGTTAGCAGAAACTTGCATTTAACTCTTTATTTATTTATTTATTTATTTTATATCCCGCCTATGTAGTCGATAGACCACTCTAGGCGGGATACGCTGTGATACGCTGCCCAGCTGCTTCTGGTTTCTGGGGAATCGTATGAATGAATGATTTCCTGGTTCGAAATTTATTTCTAAAACCCATTTCTAACTCTCCTGGGTGGAAACCTGGTGCATCCGTCGACGGTGTCCTTTAGCGTTGACTCTTGTAGTTCAGCGTGGCAACGCTCACCGATACGGGTCTGAAGATATTCACTTTCCTTTCCTAACCGTGGAAAACACGGGCTTCTTCCAAATTGTGCCCCAAGAGCCCATCCCATTGATGCAGCGACACTATCCAGATCGCTCAAACGTGACCCACGTGTTCTGCGTCCTGTGGGCACCGCCATCTCCGCAAGCTTTATCCTGAGCCCAGGGCTTGCATTCCAAAGCCTGAAATAACCTTCTAGGTCCAGAGTCTCATGAAAAGAGGGCTGGGGTCTGTGTTTAAAAGTGTCATTGCCCCCTGATGTTGGCTTCTGTGTTCTAGTAGGGTGCTCATTTCCCCCCCTGACTCCTTTCCGGACACCCTGTCCCTTCTCCCCTTCCAGGCAGCTGATCTCCGGGGCGGAAGAACTGCAGCTTGTGGTGGATCTCTTGAAGTCTCTCGACAAAATCTCCGAGTTGCCCCAAGATTCTCCTTGAAATCCCCGCCATGGATGATGGAGCAGACTTTTTAGAAGACCTTTCTGCTGTCGTTCTTTAACTCCCCGTGCATGGGTACAAGAATGGAAACCCCCCCAGATGTGGCGTCCAGATCCCCTTTCCATGGCCTGTTAAAACAGTGTGTGGGTCGTCTTAATTCTTGATTTTCCCCCCTCGGGGGCGGCTGAGATGCTGCATGGATGCTGGTCTAACGGGTCGGCCAAGCGTTGATTCGTCTCGAGGGTCACGCTCGGCCTCCTTCCCTAAAACACGGAAGCACCTTCACTGTATTTGTCTGTTCTGGGTATCGGGGCCATCGCTATCTTTTATCCTGTTTTTGTACAGTAAAGTATTTAACGATCCCTCTGGATTCTATTAGAGCGCTATTTTCAAATTAAAATTAAAATGAAATTGCAGTCTTGCCGTGATCTTCTGTTTGGAAACAGTGAGAGGGGGAGAGAGACTTTGGGGACCAATGCTTGCAAATGTATTTTATATTTCTTTTATTTTATGTTCTAAATCTTTTCTCTTTGAACGATGTTGGAATAGATTTCAAGCTAAAACTGGGAAGCTGGAGCTTTGCCAGAATTGTGGTGCAACATTATGTATTTTATTTAGACGTACATCTACCCTGCCTTTTTTTTTTAACCCCACCTTTTCTCCTTTTTTAAAAAAAAGGACCCAAAAGCATCTTTGCAACCATTAAAAGGACCGTATTTTAAAAAGCGAAAAAACAAGAAAGATACAAATATTTTTAAACGAATTAAATCAATATTATATATTTAGAACGGCAATAAAACCAATATTAAAAGCCTTGGGCTTTTCTTTAAAAAAAAACCAAATTTAATATTTTCTCTTTAGTACAAAATAGTATTAAATTTTGTACTAAAAATTTGGGTTTTAAAAAAAAAAAAGACCAAACGTTCAAATCTAAAGGATCAAACTGGGTTTGAAACAGATCAAAGGGGCCGCTTGGCCTCCCCGAGGGGGCGGGACTCCGAGGCCTGTCCGTCTCAGACTCTTCTCCCCTCTGATTGGCTAGGGGGAACGCACCCTCGCCCGCTTCTGGCTCGGGATTGGCTGAGGAGACCCCATTGGCCGCTCGGGGAAAGGGGAGAAGGGAGGCGGAGCTTCAAGGGAGGCCGGCGATGACGCAACCTCTTACGTAAGGGGGCGCGCGGGTCCCTTTCCAGGGAGGGCGGAAGAGAAGCTTCCCGGCCGTTACGTCACTTCCTGGTCCGGCGCCCTATACACTCCGGCCGCGACGCGGTTCCTTGAGGCGGCGAACGGGCGCTGTTTTGTTGAGGGGAGGGAGGGAGGCAGGCTTCGGCCTTCGAGGACTCCAACTCCCATCAGCCGCAGCCGAGGGGCAGGGCTCATGGGACTGTGACCCAAAGCCCCCAGGACGAGGGGCGGCGGCCTCAGCCTCAGCCGGGCGCCTCGGTAACTACAAGTCCCAGCATCCCCGCCAGCCAGGCAGCCCTCAGGTGGGAGGCGGCCGGGCCAGGCAGGCGGAGGGACGCTGCTCCCTTTAGGTCTCCCCTTCACTGAGCCTTGTATACCTTGGGGCCCCCGCGGATGCTGAGGAACGCGGATGGGAGCAAACACTGCCTTGCACCTGCAGGGTCTCTGGCTTCCACGAGCGGCCATTTCGGGTGACTTCTTTTTGAGAAAGATCTGTTTCTTGGGAGTTTTCTTCCAGTACAGTATTTGCAAACCGTTGATAAGCGAATCAGCGGATACTGATCCCACAAATAAGAGGCTTTGAGGTGGGGGAAGGCTACTGTTATTCCCTGTCCTTTAATTCTTGCAAGCTGCCTTGGGTCCTTGTGAAGGGAGGAAAGGCAGGTTCAAAGTATTTCAAACCAGACTTAGTGATAGATCTTTTGGTGGACCTCCGTGGAGGTCAAGGAAGGACGTCCCTTTTAGTTTGGTCTTGTGTGAATCGTGTTGTGTTTTTGTTTGTTTGTTTGTTTCCTTAGCATTTTCTCTGCTTCTTTCCCCGGCAGGGAATACGCCAGCGATGGATATCAACGCAGAGCGAGAGAAGATTCGGCAGGAGATTGAGGAGCTGGAAATGTGCCTCGGCCCGAGCATTCCAGACCTTGAGGCCGGAGAATCGGGGTCTAGCCTGGAGTCGGGGTCTGAAGATGAAGGTGCAACACCTGCGGGGCCTTTTCTTTGCTTTCCAATTTTAAAGCTGTCCCCTTTCTCAGCCCTCCTGGTGATTTGCGAGGTTTTTGCTGTGTCTGGGATTAGTCTGCAATTTTATTGATTGATCGATTTCATGGATTTCTATACTACCCCGTTGGTGCTATGCACTATTCTGGGTGGCTTACAACAGTCAACAAAAACACATTCAAATGTATACAAAGGAACTACAAGCAGGCAGTAACTCCCAACCAGACCTCAACCACTGAGTTTTCTAGCCAGCTAAATTACTGGAACCCTAATTTGGATGTTTCTTGTCATCATCATCAGCATCTTAGAGCTGCAGAGCTGGAAGGGACCCTGTGGGGTCATCCAGTCCAGCCCCTGTCAAGGAGGAACAGCAGGGAATCAAACTCCCAACCTCAGGCTCTGCAGCCAGAAACATAAACCTCTGAGCCATCCAGCAGTTCACAAACTGTAGCCTTGTAATAGCATCCCACTTTGTTTTACTGACATCATGTCTACCTGTAGAAACTTGCTTGTTTTGGTAATCCATCCATCTCTTCTTGTTTTGTCAGATGACCTTGAAGACGATGATAGTGGTACCAATACGTACATTGACCTGGTAGGTAGCCAGTTCAAGATTCTCTCTGTCGGGTTCTCTGTGGTGACCAAGGAGTGGCAGAGAAGATGTTTGCCGTTCTCCAGGAAAGCTTCTTCTGAGCTTTCTCGGCGTGCTGTAGTCCCTTCCAATAATTTACAGGCTCTGTACTCCCCATGAAGAGTCAGTTTTCCCTAAAGCCAAACCCCACCTGCCGTTGTTGACTTGAGGGATGGCCCCTGCCAGAAAAGGCAGGAACTGTGTGTCAGTTTCACAAATAAAAGAGCATTCAATAGCAGAACTACGGCTGGCCTGCCTGGGTTCTGTGGACACCAGTTAGTGGTCTACGTGGCCTCTTGCAAAAGAGCAGACAAGAGGGTGGGACGTCTCTCTCTCTCTCTCTCTGCTCTAAGGGCTAATATCCTGTAGCTGGTCTCAATCAGAGTAGACCCCAGACTCGCGGTGATGTGCAAAAGTGTCCACCCACCCTTCAGCAGATGTTCCTTTGTCTCCATCATGTCGAAAACGAGTTTGCCTTCTATGTTCCAGTTTGTGTGCAATGTGCTTAACTCTGCCATATCTCCACTTGGATTAGGAGGTGTATCCAGGGGAATCGGACGAAGCCATGGGGGAAGAAGAGGCCGAAGCCAGCGTTCCCCTCCCTCAGACGCCCGAGACGTGCCTGCAGATGAACCTTGTTTATCAGGAAGTCCTTCAGGAGAAGATTGAGGAGGTTAAATTCCTGCTTGCTCAAAACAGGGAGCAGCAGGTGAGAAAACCTTGAGGGAGGTTGTCTGTTGTGGCCACTTGTTCGACCGGGCACTGGGCTTATCCCTCCAGAAGCTCCTTCTCAGCTGTCTGCTAATATAGATGTCTTCCAGGTCTTGGGGTGGTGGAGCTAATTTCAAAAAAGAAAATATGTTCCTTTTCTGTGTATGTTCATTTGTTTGTTTTTAGGAAAAGCTCACGTGGGAGCTAGCCGGAGCAAGAGGAAGCCAATCGAGCAGCAGAAAAACTCTGCCTGCTAATATGTTTCTGGGTCATTTTATGAAGCCTTACTTCAAGGATAAAGCATCGGGGATTGTAAGTCGGAGGGGTTAACCTTCCAGCCTGCTCAATCTGTCATTCTGCGATTTTTCTTTTAATATTGTTAGTGTTTTCAGATTGTGGATAAGGGAACCAGTGGATACTGATCCCGTGGATAAGGGGGTTCCTACTGTATGGTCTCACAGTCCGGATGAAGTAAGGTCCCACTGAGTGGTGGAAACTCTTTGGTTCTTCCCACAGGGCCCTCCCGCCAACAGTGAAGCCCGGGAAAAGGCCAGACAAGGCATCAAATCTTTTGAGGAGCTGATCACCGTCAAATGTAAGGGGGCTTTAGGTGTTATCCTCCTGTAACCAACATGGCAGCCTCCACTCCCCCCCCCCATACCTCACACACCTGGAGGCTTTCTCTGAAGCCCCACAGAGGAAACAGACCTCACTGGGGCTTCGCCGTCCTGGGAGGGGCCTTCTAGCTGGCCGATTTCTCTAACGCCCCACCCCAAACCTCTCCCCCAGGGAAGAGCCGAGAGAAGCAGCTGCTACACCAGGCGGTGATGAGCGATCGTTTGCAGCGTTTGCTGCAGCCCAAGCTGATGAAGTAAGTACAGAGTCCCCCCCCCCCGAAAGGCCCTCAAAGCAGTTTGCAAAAAAAGGCGAGAACTCCAAGGTGCCTGTTTTAGCGCACGATCTTTGTCCGTCCCCCCTAAAAAATGTATTGCAGTAACAGATCTTATTTCCTTATTTATGTTGTTTAGAATGTTTTTAACTTCTATAATAAAGACTAGTATTTCTCTCCTTATGTTTCTGCTTCTTTTCAAATTCTGAATTATTTCCCCCTCCTAAATAGTCTTGAGTACCTGAACGAAAAACGAGCGAAGTGCAGAAACGAGATGGACCAGCAGATCGTGGACAAGCAGATTCAGGAGAAAGAGCGTGAAATAAATGATATCAAGTAAGGTGGTTTAGAATCACTGACTTGGAAGGGGCTTCTCTTTAAGGAGGATTCTGTGTGTTCTGAGAAAAAGAACAGGCTCTCTAGGTCGACCCTGCAGAGCTTAGCTTCGTTCAGCGTCTTTTTAGGCAAAGCGGCTGTTCAAAAAAAGCTGTCTTCCTGCCAGCAAGGCCCATCTGTACGCTTCACAGAGTGAAATTCATAAAGGATGGCTCAGTGCCTCCAATCTACAGACCAACACCCTCACGATAAATAATAATAATCTTAGAACTGCTGAGCTGGAAGGGACCCTCTCTTGATCATCACATTTAGCCCCTCTCAAGGGGGCATCCCGGGGGAATCAAACTCCCAGCCTCGGCTTCCACAGCCAGAGGCCTAAACCCCCTCAGCTGCCCTCTCTGTTTGTTTGTTACTGCCTCGTAACGTTTAAGTTTTTGCAACTCATTGCCCTGCGCTCAAATGTGCTCTTGTCTCCCCCCTGGCTCTAGTTTGCTGCCCGAGGAGAGCTTGCTGGGAAACAGATACGATGAACACGATTGGGACAAGATCGCCAACATCAACGTGAGTAGGAGGACCTCTTTAACCCTCGTTTACTCGAAAAACGGCTGCAGGATGAGCCGGTGCCCGGGAGTCCCCCCTGCCTGCAGTGGGTTTCTGTTTTTCCCTTTGGAGGGAAGGGCCGAACTGACCGGCCGCTTCTCTGCCCCTCTCCCTTCTCCCCGGGTCACGTAGTTCGAAGGCACGCGTAGTGCGACCGAGCTCCGGAGATACTGGCAGAATTCCGAGCACCCCAGCATCAGCAAGAAGGAGTGGAGCGAGGACGAGATTGAGAAGCTGAAGGACATCGCCACGAGGCGCAACTGCGTGGATTGGGAAGCCATTGCAGAGGAACTGGGGGTGAGTGCCGGACCCTTTCCCCCCCCCATAAAGGTCCGCTTGAAAACACTGTAACACACACAGCGTTCTTCTCCCCCTGTTGTGTGTGTGCACGCACAGTTAGAGACAGGCGCCCGCTGCATGGCTCCCCCCGCAGCCTATCGCTCTTGCTTCCCCCCCCCCAGACGCAGCGCACGGCCTTCCAGTGTCTGCAGACGTTCCAGGCCTCCAACCGAGACTTAAGGAGGAGCGAGTGGAGCCCGGAAGAGGACCAGATGCTGCTGCAGCTCATCCAGGAGATGCGGATCGGGAAGCACATCCCCTACCGGAAAAGTAAGGCCGCCTCCGAATGGGGAAGGGATTCTGTCCCGGTTTCATCTTCTGTTAGCCTTTCTGTTGCATAAAACACGCACAGGCTGCGTTAGTCTACCTTGGGGGTGGCAGGAAGGTGGAGGAGATTCTGGGACACCAGAGGCCAGCCTGTCTGTTTGCTTGGAAACCCCCCAAAGGAAACCCTATCTTTTAAAAGCAGGAAATATTAATCATCCTCTTAGAATGGCGGAGCTGGAAGGGACCCTGGAGTCCAGCTCCCCCCCCCCCGGGTCCAGGAGGTGCCCAGCGGGGAAATCGGATTCCCAACCCATATCCTTAAACCACCGAGCTGTCAAGCAGTTCTTGTTTCTAAGACCCGGTCAGCAATCTGTGTGTTCGCCCCGCTGATGTTTCCAAGGGCAGCCCCAGGTAGTGCACTTAGAATGGCGGAGCTGGAAGGGACCCTGGAGTCCAGCTCCCCCCCCCCCGGGTCCAGGAGGTGCCCAGCGGGGAAATCGGATTCCCAACCCATATCCTTAAACCACCGAGCTGTCAAGCAGTTCTTGTTTCTAAGACCCGGTCAGCAATCTGTGTGTTCGCCCCGCTGATGTTTCCAAGGGCAGCCCCAGGTAGTGCATGTTACAGTAATCCAGCTGGGACGTAACAAAGCCCCGTGTCGCTGTGGCCAGGCCAGACCTTCTTCAGGAAGGGAGTGCAGGTGACTCAAGATGGTGCTGCCGCCACCCGTGGCCGTCCGTTCCCCTTCTCCCGTTTGACCGCTGCTGGCGGCTCCAGGACAGTCTCAGACATCCCGGGACATCCTTTGTCGCCCTCAGTTGCCTACTACATGGAGGGGAGGGACTCGGCCCAGCTGCTCTATCGGTGGACCAAGCGAGTGGACCCCAAGTTGAAACGAGGCGCCTGGACCCCGGCGGAAGATGCGGTGAGGGCGGTTTCCGAGCTCCAGGGAATGTTTTCGGGGGGCCCTTTCTCGGGGGTGGAGGGAGGCCCTCCCCCCTGCACCTTGTGTCCTCTCTCCAGGTTGCGTCTTCCCAGCCCCTTGCGTGTCTGGCTGGAGAGAGCCAAGCGTTCTCCTCCTCTCCTTTTCTGGTTTTCGTGCACTACTCCGTTTCTGCTGCGCCATCTCGATACGGCACAGGTATCACAATAGGCAGGAGCCCGAGCGCCCCAGCCGTCCAGATTTCTGTGGGGCCTCCTCTCCTTTTCTGGTTTTCATGCACTACTCAGTTTCTGCTGCGCCATCTCGATACGGCGCAGGTATCACAATAGGCAGGAGCCTGAGAGCCCCGGCCGTCCACATTTCTGTAATGCCGTCCTCTTCTCCCCTCCCAGCTGCTTCTCAAGGCCATCAAGAAATACGGAGAGCGGGACTGGTATAAAATCCGGGCGGAGGTGCCCGGCAGGAGCGACGTTCAGTGCCGGGACAGGTCAGTCTCACCCTCACTCGGCTGCCGCCGCCGGTAGTTCTTGGTGGCTCCGCTTATTCTGGATTCACGTGGGCCGGACATGGGTCTCTCTGTGGTGTGCTGGACTTGTTAAAGTTTGGTTGGTTGTACAGCATTAAGTTAGAGAGTGAAGGGCTGAAGAGACCGACAGGCCATGAGAGAGAGGGAGGTTCCAGGAACAGAGAGGGCTCTGGCGTTGGCTGACAAGGTGGGCAAAATGGCGCCAAGGCGTCTGGAGGGGCTCTGAAACCCCCACCCCACCCTCTTGGGCGCACTGACCCCAGCCCGTGTGCCCCCTCTGTGTCCCCACCCCACTCCACCCGGACAGGTACCTGCACGCCTTGCACCACGACATCAAGAAGGGCAAGTGGAGTCCTGAGGAGGAGACCCGGCTGGTCGAACTGACCGAGAAGTACGGCGTAGGTGAGCCTGGGGGAGGGAGGGTCCTCTCTCCCGAAGCCGGACGGAAAGGGGCAGCCTGGCCGGTCGGGTGACCTCCCTTTGCTCTTCAGGTCGCTGGGCCAAGATCGCGTCCGAGCTGCCCCACCGCTCCGGAGGCCAGTGTCTCAGCAAGTGGAAGATCATGCTGGGCTACCGGGTGAGTTCCGCCTCCCCTTCCGGTGTCAGGAAGGGCGGCCGGTGTGTGTGTGTGTTTGTGTGTGTGTGTGTGTGAAACAAGCCTTCGCTCCCCTCTCCTTCAGAGTTTTGGGTGCTGTTTTCAAGTGAGGTGCCATAGGACCGTGGGGATCATTTCCGAGCGCCCCCTATCCCCGCAGAGGCCGAAAAACATGGATGTCACAAACACTGTATATTGCATTGGTCTCTTTCTCCCTTTAGTGGCCAATTCTGGTAAATACAGCTTGGGAATATGTATAAATACATATTTCTTGTGGAGGGGGTGTTATTTAGCATTTTCAGACAACACTTAAGTAAATCAGTGGATACTGAGTCCATGGATAGGGAGGGTCCTGCTGTATTTCAAGGGGTGCAGGCTGACTCAGTGCTTAAAAGGGTCAGAAGTTACAAATGAGCCTCATTTCTTGCCACAGTTTCGACACGTGGCGAGTCTGTTTTTGCCCGGATGTCTGGGAGGATTTTGAGGCTCCATCTTTCTCTTTCTCCGGAGTTGTTTTGTTTTTTTAAAGTCCCGTTGCTTTTGAGCGGCCTTCTCGAAAGAAGGCGGCCGCGCTCGCCGCTGCCTTTGAGGTTAACGTGCAGCTGTCTCTCTCGCCGCCTTGCTTCCAAAGCGAAACAAGAAGAAGAAAGAGGAGGCCGGCCTCCAGAAGAAGCGGAAGCGGGTCCAGAGAGCGAGCCCCTGCCTTTCAGAGACGAGCAGCGAGGATTCAGACCTGGAGCTGGTTGAGGACAGCGGAGAGGAGGAGGAGGAGGCCCTCAAGGCGCGCAAGGAGAAAGGCGCCGGCCGCTGGAGAGTGCCCGGCCTCGACTTGTGGATCCCCACCAAGAGGAACCTCTCGGAACGGAAGCCCGGAAAGCTGGCTGCGGTCCCTTCGCTCTCCAAGGGCTTCAACGTGAACCGGAAGCGGAGGCTGGCGCCTGGCGCTTTTCTGGACCAGGACGAAGGACAGGGCGCAGCGGATCCAGCGCAGGGACCTTCCGAGATTTCGCAGCCAGCCCAGCCCGAAGGCCCAAAGGAGTCGGCACAGAAGAACCATCAGGTAGGTACCCCAGGCCGAGACTCTCCAGCTGCATCGCCGAGACCCTGCTGTCCTTTTCAGTCCAGTTCGGGAGTGCCAGAGCAATGCGGCGTCCGTGTATCCACGGAGGGTCAGTGCTAAGTTCCTCCAGCAGATGGAGGATCTCAAACTCTATTTTAATTGCGAACGCGACACATAGCGTGCTCCCTGGCTTCCTTTCGTGGTTCGTTCTGGTCACCAGATCTTTATTTCTAGGACTTTACTTTTAATATTTTCATACTGTGGATAAATGAATCCGTGGATACTGAGCCCGCAGAGACAGAGTTCCTAGTGTATGAACTGCCGGTCCAGATTCTACACTTCTGAAATACAATAATAATAATAATCTGTTCTCCAGAGTTTTGTTTTGTTCCGTCCTGTTCTTTTTAAGTGAGAACGGCCTAGAGACCGTTATCTGGCTGACGGCCTTTCCCCGGCCTCTCTTTTTCTGCAGAATTCGAGAACCGCCAAGGACACATGGAGGGTCTCCTTGGCTTACGTGAAGTCGGTCTTGAGGAACAACAGCTACAAGTTGCAGAGGAGAACCGTACGTGCGTTTATGGCGCTTCTTCTTGGGGGCCTCTTTCTTTAAAGGGAATTAAGGAGCCCTCCTGAAAGCATGGGGCAGAATGTTCCCCCAGACCTGCGAGGTACGAGTTCCCCCCCCCTCTGCTGTTCGGCACGGATGAGGCCTCCTCGGGAGTCCTGAGTCCAGTTGTGGACATCATCCTCGAAGGAGGAGGCCAACCGACGGGAGCCAGTTCAGAGGAGGGCCACCAGGCTGAGGATCAGGGGGGCTGGAAACCAAGCCCTATAAGGAGGAAAGATGGGAAAAGAACTGAGCAGGTTTAGCCTTGAAAAAAGGAGGAGAGGCGCCTGTTGTGTGTATGTAGATCTTCAGATCTCCAGAAGCGATACGGTTCCCTTCCACTTCTTTTTTCAGCGAGAACTTAGAAGGCGGAAGCGCTTTGCGGTGGGCTCCGAAGCAGGGGGTGGGCAAGCCTTGGCGTCGGAGCCCCATAACGGGGCTCACCCAGGCCCCGGGAAGAAGGACGGGATGTGGAAGACGACCCTCTACCGGAGGCTGATGATGGCCGTCACTCCATGGACTGGGACCCAGGTGCAGAGATGGGCCCTCCGGGTCAAGACCGAAGCGTCTCGCAAGACCAAAGGTACGGGCGCGCCTTCTCTGCAAGTCAAGAGCGTACGCCCAGAAGCTCTTGAGTAGACCCCCCCCAGCTGTGCAGCATGACCGCCTGAGAAGGGACCCTCAGGGATCATCCAGTCCAGCCCTCGTGAAGGAGGCCCAGGGAGGACTCAAACTCCCAGCTCTCTAAACCCACCAATACGTCCCCGTTCTCACTTCTCCTTTGTTTCAGCGGACTTCATCTCCAAGCACCTGCAGTCCGCCCACCTCACGAGCAGGCCTCTGTTCACCCTCTTCATCCAGGTAGGCGTCCCGTCCCTCGCACCGCGGCCATCCCGCTCCGCCTCGGTCTGGAAGCCCAGGACTCACGGCAGGAGAAGAATGGCCGCTTGGCTGGTCTAGGGATTCTTGCTCTGCTTGAGACAGGTCGCAGAGAGTTTTGGGGCGAGGGTGTGGGGGGTGTCTATGTCCAAAGGGTCTCCCTTGCCCACCAGACGCCGCAGCAAAGCAGGAAGGGCAGGTCCCGGCAGGATGGGGTTGCGCCTCTTGGCCGGCAGCCGCGAACCGCCGCTGGCCTCGCCGTCTGTCTTTTAAAAGGGCCCGTTTTAGTCGGCCTTCGGCTTCACGCGGGACGCTTGCGTTGCAGCTCCTTCACATCGACGTGGACGGCTGCATGGGGGTCATCGAGAAGAGGAAACCCCGGGAGGCAGAGCTCTTGAGGTCGGTGGTTGGCAACCCGGCAAAGGACAAGCAGGTAAGGCCCCCACCATCGTACCCCTTCCAGGCCTCTCTTGTGACCGCGGAGATCGCTGGGACTTCTGTTCCAGAAGAGACGGCCGTTGCTGGGGATGGGGGTCGGGAGAGGAGCTTCATCATCATTATCTTAGGCTGGCAGAGCTGGAAAAGGGGACCCTGTGGGATCATCCAGTCCAGCCCCCTGTCCAGGAGGCACCCACAGGGGGAATTGAACTCCCAACCCTCTGGCTCCACAAACAGAGGCTTAAATCCCTGAGGGATCCTTCGGTCCCCTTTGTCTAAAACGTGCGGGTTCTTTTTCAAACGGAGCTGAAACCGGCAACCCGAGAGGTTTCGTTGCCTGAGACACAAAAGCCGGCAGGGCAGTTCCGTCGTTTTGCTCCGGCGGAAAGATGGACTTGGGCTGCCGGTCGGCCCGCGCTGAGCTGCTTTTTTTAAAAATGGCTTTTTCCATCTTCTGTTTTTCAGGCGTCTTCGGCCCCAAATGCCAAAGGTACTTGCCTGTTTCTGCCTTTAAAAAGAAAGAAAGAGAGAGAGAAATTGAAACTGGGCAGACCTTGACCCCAGCTGAGCCGGTCTGACTTAGGAGGGCGGGGGCTTCCAAGGGCTTCCGAACCCACCAGCCGGGGAAGAGGAGGATTGCCGCCCTCTTGTCAGTTTGGGGAGGGGGGGGCTTGTCTATGCGCCAAGCGAGTGCTGCCTGCCTTGCGCTCCGGCCTTTCCCGACCCGCGGGAGCGCCTGGGGGGAGCCTCGCCTCTCTCCGGGAGCCCTTTGGCCGGCTTGGGGTCGGGCGGGGAGTGTCCCTCGCCTGCGCTCCACCTTCAACCTCTCTCTCTGTCCTCTTCTGTCTCCTGCCCAGCCCGGCTTGGCCCCCCGGCGGCCGGCCCGCCTCCCGGCAAGAAGCTCATTCCTCTCAAGGCCAAGGAGGGCCCCGTCCCCGGTGGCGCGACGTGGGAGGCCGTCCCCTATCGCTCCGCCCCGAAGCCCAAGACGGTCTCGGAGCTGCTGCGGGAGAAGCGCCTGAGGGCGGCCAAGGCGGCGCAGCAGCGCAAGCTCTTCCTGGTGCCTCCGCTCATCCTTTCCTCGCCGGTGGTCGTCGCGCCCCAGAGGGGGACCCCCATGCCGGGGGCCGGGGGCCCTCCGAAGGCCATCCCCGCAAACCCCCAGGCGGGGCCGCTCCCGGGCCTCCCTCGTCTCCCGCCTTCGAGGCCGGCGGTCCCACCGCAAGCGGGAGGTTTGGCATCCTCGGGAGAGGCTCCT